TAGTTTTTCTTAAATTCCTTTGTAAAGTGTATATTTACTATTAACCGGGTCCCATACCATTCGTGTCTCAGCATTCATGACTAACACCTAAATTAAATCTTAGTGTTATTTAAAATTTTGTTTACACTTTGAATTCTAAAGTCCTTTCGGAAATCCAAAAAGAGCTCAAGGAGACGTGTTTGTCCGAATGACGCCTTCACATCCGTCATTCTTTGTGTCAAATTTCATTCGATTTGGTTAAATGAGGATTCTTGTGACATCGCATATTAAGCTGACCCAAAAACTACACTACTTGGGCTATAGCCACTGAGCATAAGTGGCGGGACTCGAATTAGTCAGCATAGTTGCATTCCGTAGGACAGTTACGTGATTCTTCAATTAATATTTCCCTCATAAGCCGGGCTGTGAATTTGGAATTGTCTCCGCATAAGAGAACATATGAAGGTTTTATTCTCGTCTAATAGTCTGCCCATTCTGAAGCTCAAGTTTATTATTTCAACCGGCCGTATTTTATGTGACTTAAATTAAGTTCACGCTGGGACACTGATCTGTGTCATAAGTGAATTAATGGGGCTTTTCATATAATCACAAGCCGGGGGGTATATAATGAAAACCCTTTTCAGATTGAAACGTGCAATATGACAGTTGCCTGTCAATGAACAACCCTACAGAATTTTATTTTCAAGTGTAGGCTGCTGCGGGTACCGAGTGTCAGCTACCTGTTGGACTTGTGAGTTACAAATAAGACTGAGGGGTGTAAATTGGTTATCATTTGGGTACTGCAGCTTAAACTTTTTGTCACTTTTCGATCAAAGAAGACAGCGACTTTAATGTCTGTCGAACTGTCTTAGAAGTCCTGTGGGTGTATGGGAAAAAAAGAGCAACAGTATCGGTGCAACTGCACAGAGTTCAGGCCTTCCCGACGTCATGTCATGACTCGAGGTCGATTCGAAAGAGGTCTTTGTGTGTTCAAACACGTTTCTGATTGTTACTACATAAGGTCACAGGTATCGTCTTTAAAATAACGATGGGATTCCGTTTATATATCCGCTATCGTCTTAGACACCGTTATCCGCTACCACTGAGCGAACAAATCAACTCACCATCTTCCTTTATCCATTCATCTTCAATTAATCAGTTACATACCTGCCTTCTCACTCACAAAATCCTGACTTCGAGTAAATTTGTAGTTTTTCCGGCATTCTCGGAACGAAATTAGCTCTTTCTTCATGAACTCGAACTGAAATCAGCATCCCCACAATTTCCGATGGCGTTTACAGTGGTTAAATGCAAACGCCTGGGCTTTCATACTTTTATTAAACTGTCGAGTCGCACCATCAAGCTGTCAGTAAATCAACGTTTGTCACTTTTGATCGAATGAGGTCCACCTCAGCTATTAGCCCAGTGTTTCATTCACGTGTCTTTGTTTCGCGTTTGTGCGTGAACAAACACGCTCTGGCCAGCATGATCCTGCCAACATTAAACCAAGAAAAAATGGATGTTAGTGAGAGAGGCGTTGCGCGTGTTGGCGTTATTAGGCATTGCATTGTACTCTGTCTCTCACACTTCATGCTTTCCTTCGCCAACTCGCATCGAAGAGTGTACAAGACGATTACCATTGGTCGTAACCGCATACGCCATCATCCTCTTCCAACGCACAGAGCTGTGAATGGCACCAACTCGTGGTTAGTTGTAGCACCTCACACCCAACTTATCAATCGTCTTTAAGCTTTACGGTTCTCACCTCAATTACAATAATTAAAGTAGTTGCTATTGGTAATCCGTGTTTTGTCACAATCCCGGTTGTCACTTCACTTTGCCGTTTTCCATAATTAGAACATCGATGACAATGAGTCAAATAATTATCACTTGGGAGAACAGGGAACTTCAGTTACAAAAGAATGTATTCGTAAAGCACGTGTGCACAAGTTCACACTGTTTCCATCTTTTCTTTGTCGTCATGGTGGCCTTGCTCAAGTGGTGAAGTCGCCAGTAGAATTCACCACAAATTTTCGGAGATAACATTGTGCTGATTTTATTTTAACAGAACTGAAACATTTACCTTATCATTGCCGTCTATCCCTGTAATATGTTCATGTTCCTCTTGAGTTGACCATTTTTGAAATTCTCATTGTAGTTGGGCGCCATTTTCAATTCAACTTTATTCCAACGTGGTAATCAATTGCTTTCCAGATATTTGTATAGGTTTACTGTATAATACTGATTGGTGTAGCGTTTGTTGTTAATGAAAGAACGCATACAATGCTAGACTTTCCGGCTTGTATATCAAATATGCTGCATAACATTTGAGCTCTAATATTAATTCAAACCAAATGGAGGTACCGAGCTCGAACCTCAAAAAGACACTGCTAGTTGGATGATTAGTGTTGTAAAAAGGTGAAAATTACTCACTATAAGGAGTGATCTTTTTCTTGTCAAATGTCTATTAATGATGATAAAAATTACTAGGTCCGCCGATTGTTTTAACACTACCGACCAATGACTAGATTAATATATGCTACAAAATTTAGCCGATATCACTCAAATATTAACGTAATGGTCATCATTTTACAGTGCGACTCCCATTTTGGTCGTATTCATGCCTTCGTAGGCACATTTGATTTGTCCATTAGGCTACTGATAAAAGGGTTTTTATGAGGGATGCAGTTGCAAAAAACTGCATGACATCTTTTGCCTATGCATATGCATAAGACTACTGATTGTTTCCAAATTTGCTGGAAATAATTAAATTTGCAATGACGCAAAAAGGGATAAATAACAACCGATTGGTTTTGCACGTCACAAATATTTATTTTCTGAAGTTACAAATCAGACAAAGCACTAAGTCTACAGTATCCCCAATGATTCACCAACATAAACCTAACAAGATTTTTAGACTTTCCTATTGTCTTGACACTTGCAAAGGGCGTTCCGATGTGAATTCAAACTGATAAAAGGGTACTTTGAAAGTCCTAATGAAAGTTTAAATTGCTTCAGAAGTCTTATTTCCAACTGAAAAGAAAATCTGGTGGACGCATGCAGATACAAACCCCTCAATTTTACGGGAAACAGGACTTAGGTTTCATTGTCATCTTAATTGCTTGTCTCCTGTCCCGTCTGGAACTGCTTTTACGGCCTAGTTTTGAAGACAAATATTTCTGAGGCATGTAAAAATGCAACAACGTGGTGTTTTACTCATTATTCAAACTTTTTTTAGTCCCGAACACCTATTCCGTTTCTGCTTAGCTCGCACTCATGTTTCACTTCAAAGGTACGTAATTTGTCAGTTTAATCCTAAATGATAACACTTCTACGACTGACACAAACATAAATAATAAGCAAGTGATTGTTTGTGATCAAGAAATGTTTCGAAAAAAACGGCTAAGTCACTAACAACACAGGAAGCAGGCGTGAACCTCTAATTTTTACTTTTGAAAGCGGGGTGAAACCGGTGTTGGCATGGATGACTGCTGCGTAAGCTTAAATGGGTTATGGTTTTTACTTACACGATTTAGTTGTCAGAATATAAGAAAACCGGATAACTTTAAGACTGATGATATAAAATGACTGAGTCACGGGTCGGGGTTTAACAAGGGGATCTTGCATGCCATTTCTGACTGACCCACCTGTTGACATATCAGTTCTTTTCCCAAGGAAGTCACGCTTTCAAAATTTTGTACAATCACAACAGGAGGCAGTCTGAAGACTTCGACGTCAGGCAAATTGTTTTGAAGTTCGAGCCAAGGTCTTACTTCTCCTTCAACGTAGGAATGTTAGGTGCGTGTTTATTTAACCTCGAAACTTTTACGCTATTTAGCTTATACAAATCGTCCATCGTGAACGCCAAATTATTTAATTGGCTGTTTTTTGGTCAATGGCATTATGCATCAATTATTGATAATACTCTGCTTTGTTCAGCACACTATTGAATCTTCAAGAGAATGAAGACGAAATTCGTGATGCTTTGCTCAGGTATGCTAAAAACCAGAATCAAACGAATATATTATTCAGCATATTTAGGTTTAAGTAGTAGGAAAAACCATTATCAGTTTAAATTGAAAAAAAGGATGGATCCAAAAGGACAAAAGTATAAGTAAAAATTATGAATACAGTTGGTCAAAATTTTTTTTTCCAATATTTAACAGATACGCATAACCTTATGATTCTAAATTGACGCGGTGACATTCAAAAAATCACTTTAGTGTCAGTGTTCCGTGAAATCGACATTTTAAAACAAATTTAAGATGTGTCCTAAACTAGTCTGCTGCCTTTATTAAGAGAGTACTCACTGATTCTTAAAAGTAGATGGTTTTAAGTAGTCATTTAACTAAAGTTATTTGATTGACAGCAGAAAATAGGTAGTCATATAGTCTCAGTTATTTCCTATTTCAGAGTGAAAAAAGACTTTTCCGGATCGGAGTCTATATCCTGAAACTAATGGGGACCATTTGAACAATCTATTGCAAAAATGCCACCTCTTCACAATTTTGTGACAAATTCACAACTCGTGCCATTAAAGAAGCATTATTGGATCGATTAGTTTGTTTACTGAAATAAAATACAAAGAGCCCTATGTATGCAATATTACTCAAAACGAAAGCATTTAGTAAAAGCCTATGAGCTACATTTCATGTAATTATAGAAATTTTCGACATATCAAAAAAGTTTATAGAAAATAACGCCGAAATTACTGTAAAGGTGTCCCCGCATTGTTCAAGTCGCATGCTCTTACTCAATGTGCACTTGTATCACCGCAAGTTCTTCTCGGATTTACAATAAATTCGAATCAAATCAAGCGAAGTCTTGAGAGCAAGCCCACAACCCGATTGACACTAGCACGAACCATTTTTATTTACTTTGAGATGCCATCGTAATCCTTTAGCACAAAAACTGGACATTCGATTCGAAAGTACAAAATTGTTACTCAAGTGATTAAGAAGATTAACACAGAACCCATTACAAAATTAAGGACATAGCTGTGTAATCATACGCACCGAAAAATGATAGGATCAGGACCGACCCGCTTCAGCGACCGCTACCCCTGGAAGCAGTATCGAGACACCCATTTACACACCGAAACCGCTATTCGTCACTTGGAGTTTTCTCAAGGCGTTTGCGACGAGATCAGCGCAACAGACCCAGGCCACCCCGACGAATGGGACGAGCTCACTCACCTAGCCTCCGAAAATGGAGAGAGCCAGTTTGTTTTCCAGCTATTACAGCTGACCGGAGGCTACATGGGCGACCCAGGCCTCTGGACATTTGGAAGGGTGCAAAGCGCCGCCCCTGCATCTATTATTGTCACTGTGCCAGTGTCATAACATATAGTACCGCATAGCCGTGTCGGTTCACAAGGGCCAACCACATTAACGACCGCTACTAGCCCGAAACTTCCCACCACACAATCACCGCCCAAGAAACTACAAGTACGGTCAAAAGTAATTTCTTAAAATTAGTGGTTCGGGGTCGAAGTGGCTGAAGATGTGTCCAACCATCAATGCTGATGAAAACACCGAGTGGACACTTCTTGGGTGTACATATAAAGGTAAATCCATAAGTGGCGGAGGGTGCGTTAAATTGGTAGGCAGGTATGGGTGTGGTGGATCGCAACACGTAAAATATAACCGAAAATTTCAATGTGACATTGCAGCATCCCAGCACACACACAAGCACGAGGTAAGGGAACGGCCGAGGAGGGTCGCAAGTGTGGCCGCCTGTGAATTGAATGTGTGCAGACGCATATACAGGGAGATCGCAGAAGGAGGAGGTGGTTGTGTGCACGAATTGAAAACTCATCTCGGGGAACAACGGACCAAATGAAATAGTCTGCGTGAAATTGAGCCAGAAATGATGATAAGAAAATTTAGTACAGCGGGGAGGGGGTAGGTGTGGCAACGAAGAGACAACTTATTTACACAGGATGAGGTGTGTTGTCGCATGGTTCGGGCACACCAATCTGGGCGTGTGTGCCTCTCAACAAAAGTCTGAACTCGCGTGGTTGTGTACAGGGTTTGCGAACGGGCGGAGTGAGGAGCCGGACAATGGCCTGCGTAATCAAAGTAGACATTTTCATCAATGTTGGGGAGTATGTGGGGTAACGACGACGAGGGGCTTCGACGCTGGTGGTCACCTAGCTAACGAACTTTGAGAAGATCGCAAGCATTACGGCAAACACTAGCAGCATTAGTGGAATTACGGTTAGGGAGGAGGCCTAAAATGGAAATAAGAGCACGTTAAAATAAGCCTAGCCTAAGATCGGTTAATAAATAAACACTGCCGGTGATTACTTGGTCGACTTTGCTGTTAAAGGGTTATGTGTATATGGCACAAGCAGTAGATGTTGCAAGATCCAAAAGAAGTATTACTACTGTTATTTAAAGCGAACTATGATTGTTGACAATTAGTGAAATATATATGACATAATACTGGTTAGAATATGGCTTTGTTAGGTGGTGATTACCGACTCAATGCGTCAACTAAAATACAAAAAATATACACAATTTAGCTTTGTTGAAGGCAACATACATGGCCAACACACTTAGTGATTCTTGCAGTGAATAAATTCAAAGTGAGGAGAATCGCTCGAAAGACAAAAGAAAGGTCCGGGGCACAAGAAGAGTTTAGTCGCAAAAGAACTCGCTGTGTGATCTGGCCTCCAACTAGGAATTACTGCGATCAGTCACAGACAAAAATGACATCAAGTAGTAATTATAGCCAGACTACATGTCCTTAATATAAGCAGCACTCAAATTAATGCAAGTTTACGCCATATGAGTTATGATGGTTGGCTTGGAATTTATCAGATTTGAAAAGTGTGCTGACAATCTTACCGTTACCAGACGTCCGGGGACCAGTTCGATTCGATCAGAATGAGCAGATGAGTCGGCCAAGCAGGAGGTTGGTGGTGAAAGGTGGTTGAAGGCGGTCGACGGATGCTGCTGTCGATCCTTACTCTCGAGAGCAGCGATGTTCGCCTGGGCTTCAGCGAGGGCTGCCTCCAGCTCGGCCCGCTGCGTCCGCAGGTTTTCCACCTCGGTACGATGTTGCCGAGTCTCCTCGACGAGGCGACGGTGGTTTTCCCGCGTCTGTTCCATCTGATCTTCAATGTCTCCAATGCGTGCCCTCAAGACACAACATTCCACACGCATATCCTCCAACGCGTCGGAATCGCCAGAAGTCGCCTTATTTTCAGAGGCAGCTAGGTATTTATAAAATTGTCGATTTAAGCTCGAACAGAACTAAGGAGTTTTCTGTTAACACAAAAAACGGCTAAGCCTAAAGACTGACGTGTCTCATTGACAGGGTTTTTCGGGTACTTATAAGCCCGTTAAAGTGAGCAAAAGATTAGACTGTTGCTGTAACCATGACTTGGTCCTTGCTTGACTTTATGGGCCCCGAGAAAGCCCAAAAAGAGTAAGTAATCTTCTGTAATCACGCACCTCTCGTTCTGAATGACGCGTTGTACACACAATCACAGAAATGAAACCGAAATCGTACTTCGTGCTACATTTAACATGCTATCGCTCTAGGTCAAATTACCAAAACTTTGAAGCAGCAGCAAACACCGTTATTGGTCGATATTACCATTCCTTTTCTTTCATTGAAACACCATAGCTCTGAATTCGGTGTTTTGTTGTGTACCCCACAAGTCAGTGCTTAGCCTTTATCGAAAAGTCACCTCGATAAAGACACAATAATTGAGTATTAATGAATAAATCGTATTCACTTGAGCGACATCAGTTAAAGTCAGGTACGTATATCATTAAAATTTAGAAAAGCTCACATATATTGACGCAAACTTTTTAGGCATTCGAGGAAAGATATGAAGAGATAATTTCGAAAAAGCGATTGAAATTTCGCATTTCAATGATAATGAAGCCGTTAACAGAAATAATCGAACAAATCGCACAATGTCAATCGCCATGGGAGCATGGGTGTTAAAAAGCAGTAATTAAAGTTCAAAACAAACTAACCAGTCATCTGTAATTCGGCAATGTGTGCCTTGTAATGTTCTATCTCCTTATTTGCCAAGCGCACACATTCTAAAAAAAATCACACAATGAGTGCAAAGAATCAACCTTATAATGGGTGCCATGCCTTGACATACCAAATTACACGAAACGACATATAACCTAAGTTTGGTGCATTTTTAAAAAACACCATCAATTGAGAAAAGCACGCATACTAAGTGGATAGCATTCAAACATGCTCCCAAGTCGCAATTACGCGTCAGCGTTGTAATGCTATTAGTCCGTAGCGCCAGTTCGAGATCATTATGCCAGGACTTTAACGAGCCAATGCTTGTGGCACATGTACTGTCTGAATGGTGTCCGTCCCACATAAGAAGTCTGCACAGTGACGAAGTAAATTCTTGAATCCGTGTGAGGGTGGTATTATGAAGAATTGCGGACTTAGTGAACCCGCACAGAACCAACGTATTTAGGTTTAACAGAGAAACGTAAGGCACACTACAACTAAACGTGGTGCATAACTCAAAATCCAGTTTTTGAACTTTGACCAATCACGCATCAAGTTTTATTAATATGTAGCGTGGATAGCGACCTAGCCTGGTGCTTAAAACGATAACAACGATTAGCGTTATTCGTGTTTACGATGCGAAAAATACACAATTGATCAAAACTGTCAAATTCCAAAAGGGTGGTTGCAGACAACAGGATGTTCACATCCTTATAAAAGTGGCTTTAGAGCCAGAATATAAGAAGGAAATGAAGAACTATGCATGATCTAAAGTAAAAGGAAATTAGTGCGGTTTAGAGCAGAAAAGCGCTTCTGAAAAGTACCATTAGCTCACAATGATCCTTCATGTTAACACAATTAGTTCTAATTAGCCAGACCCTCACATTCTTACAAAAACACTGTTGCCTTCACTCATCCGTTAGAGACGAAGCTATGCTGTCAAGGATGTATCAAGATCTCGAAATTAACATTTATAGACTACCACTAGCTGGGAGTAGTAATTTGGGCGGACACGTCTTGTTCAGGATCCCACCAGAGCTGGGGCAGCAGTGGAGATCTAGTAAATAGAAGTTCAAGTAACGAACAAGACGCGTTGAGAAGCCGGAGAACAAGGTTTGGGTGACTCACGACTGCCCCCGCCGGTGAGTCAGCGAGCTCATTTCGAAGTTTTGGAACCACCCCCAAAGAGTGCGCACACAAGAATTTGGTAATGGTTAAGATAACCTTTGATTACAACAAACGAAAACTTGGGCACATTGCCTTAAGGTGGAATACCCAATTAGGGGCTAGCACGGACTGCGATCAAATTTTAGATCCTGGTTTAAGCATAAGCAAACAAGTGGAATAGAAAAAGCATTGAAGAAACGCGTCAACAATCATACCACGGAAGAAGAAATGTGGCACTGCTTTTACACTACCATCTAAGAGCGAACGGTTATCGACTGTCGTAGGATTTCAAAACCACGATTAGTTGCTAAATTTACAAAGTCTAATCGCAGAATTCAAAAACCAAGTTCATCCTTAATGTCTGTCCTGTGATTCTAGAGTGACAAGACTGTTAGAAAATTCATCATATCAACTCAGATTTGTTAAAAAGTAGTAAAAAAAAGTTTGAGAGATTGAATATGATGCAGACGTCGTTCCATGAACAAGTGCCACTACAATTAGAATAATAGACAAAACATCAGAATTTACCTACCAGATAATGTGTGAATGTTACATCAAATAACACTTGAACAGGCACACCCAAATTCTCAGACTAACCACGCAGATGAGCGACTTCTTCAGCATCGGGAGACAGTGCGAAAGATAGGGTTCCATTACCACTGGAGACGGTAGGAGATGCGTTAAGGGAATCAGCACCGGCCACCAAAACACCCTCGTCACTGCCAGAGGACCCAACAGCCTCAACCGACTTGTCGACAAAGTTATGCAGTGTCAGAAAGTTGGGCCTCGGGAATGTCTGGTTCCCTAGGTCATTTTCAGCGACACCTGCTGGGGCCGCGAATGCATGAGCGTCAAAATTGCTGAGATCTGCAAAAAGGAAAGAGACCAGAAAAATAGGTGGCAACGAAAGGAAGACAGCCAGCGATAACTCGGAGGAATTTTATTGCAGTACAAGAAGTCTTCAATCAACCACGCAGGCGATCAATCACTAAGAGAACGCACGGTAAGTTATGGGGCAACGATTGTGCGAAATTCAGCATTAGTAATAACGAGAATTTATGGCGCTTAGTCTAAGAACACAGTGATTATATGGTGGTTCTTCTAGCTCAAGATAAGAATGGTAGATTCACTACTAACCTTAAAAAAGTAGTCTACAAGGTGTCAGTCCTTATTCTATATCACATTACCACCTAACGCGAATGTAGGCTTTGGAAAAATGCAGCCAACTCAAGTTCCCAATTAGTAGGGCAGAACCAATCGAATAAAGGGGCAAGAGGTACCAAATAGGCATTTTCAAGATAATTGCCATGGTTGAATATCATTTACACCGTAGATCGTTAAAAAAAACAACTACGACTACCACATATGCCAAGTCATTTGAAAACCATAGCCACTACGTTTCGGAAAGGGGGCGACAATGACAATTATTAATTTTCTGGTGGGTTGAAAAGTGTCATCGTTCAAAAACAGCTTTAAATACGGTGAATAAATTCAACCAATACATTATTGTAAACTATGCTAAACCTGAGTGACGGCCTAAAAAAATACTCAATGCGGAGGGCAAAGACAATAAGCAGGGTTAGGAACTCTGGAAAAGTGAAATGCAATTAAATTAGCGGAAGCAAAATAAGCACCAATTTGTGCAGCTCTATTGGATAAAGAAGAACAGAAATCCGAAATACGTGCCAACACCAATTTGCGACCACCTACAAGGCAACCTAGATGTGCCACTGTACAGATGCATGTACATGAAAATGCTTGCACCAATGTCTATGTGCGCGTATATTATACTACCTGGCAAATCAATAAGCATGACTCGCGAACACCACACGTGTGTGTTTGTTAGTTATGGTGTCAGTGACGCAATCACCGAAATAGCACAGGGACCGTGGAGATAATGCAGGTTTGTAAAAACAACACCAAGAATAAAGCAATACCCTCTCCAAATGGCACCAAATATGATGAAGATACCGACGTGTGAGGCTGTACTTAGCGCATGAACCGCATTGAAAAAATTAATCACATGGATTTTATTATGCCTACAGAAGCTTACTCGAGATATTCTGAGACATGGCAGCGACGAGAACACATACCACCACGCACCCAAAAGGCGGTGACAGGGAGGCACATAATCAAGAGTCGCGCTTTGCACGCGCGTGACATGCACATGGAAACAAGGTAATGCGCGACATTTTAAAAAAGGTTATCCTGTGTCACACACTCTCTGTTGCACTTGAACTCTGCTTCAATACAAAATAAGTAATCACAACGTTGTCCTACTCAGATGCCCGCGTGACCATCCACCAAAAAACAGGCTTTCCGTGAACTTGATGGAATCCACCTCCAGTACCACTAACTTGGTGTACTTCCGATCAGTGCCAAGCAGATTAAGTCTGAACTGTAACGAGGGTTCCAATCATCATTTAAAACACAAGATCTACCATCGGTTTTGGTTATGCAAAGTGGATCGTGAGTGGTGTTAATTCACTCCCCCAAGAAATCATGCTAACTTGTCTGATTGTGCACTCCCCTGTGCGCGCGCTTACCTTTTCACTCATACATCCCATGTGACACTCATCAATTTGTACTTTTGCTAGTTCATTCTAACTGCGAGTCAACAGAAATGAACCTGCACTAGTGATACACGAACTTGAACTCACGACGACGTAATACAAAACAGCAATTAGGTTAATCCTTTTTCTTCTCTCTTTATTCTAGGTACTTGGAGATGTATCATGCCACAAAATGACAATAGTGGAATTTCTTTTTACGTCCATTATTTTAACGGTTCTGTAATCAACTGGAAATTGGTTTTCACAATGTGGTTATTCCGGTCCAAAGGGTTTCCTCAGATACATTTGTTTGGACATTATATTGGCTCCATGGTAATGTGACTACGTCTGATCGTGTACTCCGGTTTTGGTTGAGATAGTGGAAGGATTTCTGCATTAGATCCTGTGCTGCTTGTGTCTGTCCTGACGGTGAATGTCGTCGACGAGCAAAACATCATGGTTAATTTTTTTCTCTTCGGTGCTCTGCATCTATGTACCTGTAAACAGACGAAGTTAATAAGCTTTTTGTTTAACATATACAATAAGGCGCTTTAACAATTGCTCGAATTTATTTCGCATTTGTTTTCATACACTGAATGCCTTACGTTTACGATGCGTTAAAATTGCTCTGTGTTTAAAATAGCTGTAGATACCAAAGCGAAGTAATAGTCATGGGTATTCATATCTTTGTTGAATCAAATCAAGTGATTCAAAGACTGCGTCGCTACACAGCCACGCAGGGGTGAACGTAATCTTTTTCCCAACGTTATACGGCGAAGTATTTATTAATTTTTAGGTTATTAACGCCTGCTCAATTACATTTTTTCTTTGAGGTCGCTAGTTATCCGGTATCAAGATGTGTGAAGTGAGGGCGTGTAAAAAAAGGAAGTGAAAATACACAATTGTCTCAAGTTTATTTGAGACCACTGTTCAATCTGATAACTGTAGCCTATTCACATGAGATACCACAACAAGGTGAGAAACTAGATAACTATCATTACAGTCACAAGTCATCCATTTTTGAAATCAATTATCTTAAGTAGCTCCATCTAGATAATTTAAATCACTTAGGTGTCTAATAGCACAATTACAAATAATTTTTTGAAATAAATTGCCAGGGTGACTTGTAAAATAGATTATCAGATAAACAATTGACGCATTAGGATTTGCATTGCATTGGTAATGTGTATGCGCCCGTGAAGTATATATAACGCTAAAATGTGGTTTAGATTTGGTAATATAATAAACAGAATACACAGGGAAAAAAATATACTGCTTATCTAAGTCACCAAATAATAAGTATACCTTCGATTGTTCAGCACACGATTCATTAATAAATGCAATTTTGAATACATCAGACACACATCCTAACGTTCCCACAAACAATATAACAACCATTGATAAATGTTCTGTTTTATGTTTCTACTAAACATAATAGCATTCACAGCAAAGTATTGACTGACCTGGTCAGTACATTTCTAAAATTTTACTTCACAACACTTCAAAAGAAATAATCAATTTTATCAAATCTATTGTCTTTAGTGAATGTGTTTTTGCAATTTTTTTAAAAGCACTGGAGTTTACTTGCCGTAATATTATTTATTTATTGCAATAACTGCTTCTTTAAATGTTTGTTTTTTTCAGTTTACGTGTTGTAAAAAAGTCTTACCTAGACAAATCACTACGTTATTTTAAATAAAGACATTTGGGACCTATATATATAATATTCGTTAAAATAAAATAAGAACCTATTTTGCGTGCATAAAATTTATTTTGATGCCATTCAATAGAGTGTCACTACCCAATTTGCGCTTGTTTTAACCCGGTCTTCAATCTCTCGGTTTCGTTCTCTGCTCCATCTTTTCTTTTGGTCCCATTCAAGGTATGTGTTAAGACAGTGGTTATAATATTCTAGTTGTCTCCTAATAATGCGTCCTTCGGGTGATAGCAAAGCTGATCAAGATAAGAAGCTGTTTGTTGGTGGTCTCCATCATTCTACAACAGAGAACCAGTTGCGGGAGTTTTATTCGCAATGGGGTGAGATTACTGATGTAGTGGTCATGAAAGATCAGCGAACTGGTAAATCTCGTGGCTTCGGTTTTGTAACATTTGCTGAATCGTCATCGGTGGATGCGGCTCAGGCTGCGCGACCTCATACAATTGACGGCAAGACAATTGATTCAAAGCGAGCCATGCCCAGAGAGGAGACTAGTCCCGAAGTTCACGCCGCAGTCAAGAAAATCTTTGTCGGTGCTTTGAAAAAGGATGTCACGGACGATGACTTGTCTCAGTACTTCTCTCAATTCGGAACAGTAACTGATGCGTCGGTCGTCATGTCTAAGGATCGAAATGAATCGCGAGGATTTGCTTTCGTGACATTTGATGACACTGACGCGGTGGACAAGGTCATCCTGTCAAAACCGCACTCTATTAATGAAAATAAGATTGATGTCCGTAAAGCTCTAAGCAAGGACGAGATGAGTAAGATCCGCTCAAGGCCACTGCGTCCGGATTTTCGCCAGTCTTGGGGAAACGGTAAGCCTAATAGTGTTAGCCTAATTTCTGCATATAGATAATTCGTGGAATGGACATCGTTATGATAATGGGTATAACCAGGGTTATGGCTACCAAGGTTATGGCAATTACGGTAACGGAGGTGCTTATGGTAAGTATTTTTTTCGAGATATTATCCTTTAGGTTATTGTTCACAAGGTTACGGCTACGAAAATCCCCCGCCATCATGGGGGCCAAGTCCTAACGGCGACACAGGTTTCGGTTCCTACCAACAACAGTCGTACGGTGGGGGCCCAATGCGAGGCGGCCCGCAGCCATACACGCGAACGACGCCCTACGCTCAAAACAACTGGCAGCAGCGCCAATAACTTGGATTAAATGTAGGAATGCGAGGAGCTGTCTCAGTGCATTTCCTTATCTTTTATTATTCACCATCAGCTGTTTTGTAAAATAACTTCGCGATCACTGTTTTAGCCGGTATTATGTAGTTTGTTCTACTGCTACGCGTTCCCTGCGCAGCGACATCTAGCATGTCCGTTTAGGCCAAACGTTCTCTGACATGATATCGGCGGTCTTTTTACCCATCATTGTTGTTAAATTATAATTGAAGCCCCAGTCTGCGTTATTGAACGGTTGTTTTGGTTGTCGCACAGGTTTGGGATGATGGGCGCCCGAACTACGATGGTGTCGACAGGGAACCATGGCGCTGCTTGGAAACTTGCAGGTAATGCGAGGCCTAAATTGGCACAGTACCGAATTATCTAGGTCTAGGACGGTTTAGGTTAAGACTCCAGGTCTAGGTATATGCAGTTATGCTCTATACCTTAAGTGCGCCTGTACGTGTGCTGGAAATGCATTAAAATCTTGAGGAATTCCACTAGATGTCGGTTCCATTTATGCATCCTCTGTTTTGTTTTTATTATTGATGAATAAAATTCCCTGTATCTGCAGTTTGAGTTTTGTCTTTGCGTGTCACTCGATAAACTCGTGGGGTATAAGCTGCTAAAAGTGTCCTTTTCGATTACAGGCGGCTTTTCGTTAGAAAAGTGGGTGTCATATAGTGGGTTGGTTGATCGTCGTTTATGGGGTGGTTTTCTTATTCGCGCGCGATAGGCTCTGGGGTTCGCGTCTCAGTGCCTTCGAGCAGGTGTGCTTTTGGTCCGTCCGACGAGCCACTGGCTATTTTTGGCGCCTCTGCGTCATGTACTCCTTCATTCGCTGTCACTGGCTAAGGGTAGCACCTAAGGCTTGCACAAAGCTCCGTCTAGCTATCGAAGGCGGTGATACCACCGGGGTCGGGGTGGCTGCCACCAAAAAGGTGGGGGTTTATGTGGAAGCTAGTGCACACAGACGAGGTCTCCGAAAGTGCTTATTCGCCTGTCAAGCCTCTTATTTTGTTTCGACTTCACGGAGACGGCGAACCTGTTCTGCTGACTACTTTTTTAGTCTTGGGCCTCGATTGGCTAAGTTTATAATCGGTTATTTATATTCGATCGCGAAAATTTGTTCGCAGTGGGAGTAAACGTTTTTGGAATCTCATCACACTTCCATTCGACTGCTCATTAATAAATACTAAATGTTTAAACTCAATAAATCCGAAAGTACTTTAATGGTATCCTATTCTGTACAAAAAGCTTCGTGGCGGGTGATTATTTGGAAGCAAAAATAACTACCAAAATAGCAGAATTTACAACTGACTTCAGCGCAATTTCTTGGCGACTTCATAATTCCATAGCGATGCACTAAGTAACTTCGCTGACATTTGAGAAATCTTGATGGTAACTGGAATAAAGCAATTTTGTGTCTTGCGGTGTTCTAATGTGTTTTGCTGGCTGATGAAACAATTTTGCAATGATTCCAGTTTTACACAGAACTCACTTGACCTAAATGAAGTGCAACTGTATAGAGTGGGTAGACAGCATTCAGCTAGCTTTAGAGAGTACATGGGACTCGGATTATGGTAAGACTGATTTCACTGAGGAAGGAGCACACACTAATTGATCTACCAGAATCACTAGTATCATTTTGGTTGTCAAATACAGAAAAACAGGAAAATTAAGCGTGCAATTATTTGCAATTAAAAGAGTAATGGATTCAGATGCATAGATGGGGCGTTAGGTTTGGAATTTAGTAACCGGATTTATTATTTTAAGGTCACGTGCAAGAGTGATACCAGCAAGTTCCATCGCAGATATAAGTAAAATGCGAGTGCCATCCAGAAGTCAGGGATCGTCGCTTATTAATATCCTCTTTAGTGTCATTTAGAATCAGGAAAATTACCCGAATCTTGGAAACATGAGAGCTAATTAAATCATTGATTGCTGACATTTACGCAGATTCTCCGAAGCTACATAGGTACAGACAGCATTAACGCACCTTGCTAAAAAAATCGCTAAAATGTGATAAATTCCAAGGTTTTCGCATTTCTTGCACAGTAGACATCTTCCAAGTTGTATGTTTGCATTTGAAGTACATTTGTTCTTTAAGTTTTTGATACTACACTGACGTCCTCGGAGTTTCAAGCCAAATGAAAATCATTCCTTTAAGCGAAGCCCTACACTAAATCCTTATTTTGCATAACTGAGGGGAGTTTTGAAAATGTAGCATTCGAGTTTAATACGGGATTGTAGTTTTGTCATTTAACCTTAAATAAAATATATAACAATCAGAAAAATTGTACTAAATGTCTCTTCATGGCATTAACCACCATTGGTTAAGTGGAAGCAAAAAATGTTACTTGAAAACTGATTATATAATGCAATTAAACCATCTATTGCATCTAGTAATGATTAATCAAAGAGATGGGCGAATGAACCTCCTTAATATTACCAGCATATTTTATAAAACACGTTTTGGTGCCTTAAGTTGATTGTACGTTAATTTGTTAGTTCCTTAAAGAACTCTATTTGACATTCCATTAAGCAAATTCGAAAGTTGGCATGAAATATTGCGGCCGAAAAAAAAAAATTTTTTACAAGTGCAAGCCAGACCTTATAAAAAGGTACGATGTGCCTCAGACGTTTAATATTTTACTAATTTCTACATTTACTTCTAATATAATCTTAATAATTACACATAAACATCACTATGACGCCATCGAGTTTCAAAGTTTTAAGCATTTAAGTGTGGAGTTCATTGAAGTTCTGGTTAGTAATATTATCACATAAGCATAAACACATTAAAAAAAGGGGGATTAAAGAGGTTGTACTAATGACATCGTAGATACTGTAAAATGTCCTAGGCATGGAATTGATAATGATGTAATTGCTGTTTAGTGCTTTGGGTCGTGTGTATAGCCACGCGAAAATTTTGAAGTGTCGTGGAATGATGAGGCCTCAAGGTGACCCCAAGGAAGATCAAGGGAAGAAACTATTTGTTGGTGGAATCAATCACAAAACCGAGGAAAAGTCATTAAGAGAATATTTCTCCCAATATGGCGAAATTGTTGATGTTGTTGTGATGAAGGATTCCCACACTGGAAGACCCCGAGGCTTTGGCTTTATCACATTTAAGGATGCTTCTGCAGTTGACGCTGCTCAAAATGCTCGTCCACATACTCTTGATGGAAAAGAGATTGATACAAAACGAGCCATGCCACGGGAAGAAAGCAGTCCGGAAGTCCATGCAGCAGTGAAAAAAATTTTTGTTGGAGCTCTTAAAAAGGACATTACAAGCGAAGATCTATCTTCTTATTTCTCGAACTTCGGAACTATTGTTGAAGCTTCTGTCGTCATGTCAAAAGACACGAATGAGTCTCGAGGGTTCGGCTTTGTCACGTTTGATGATACTGACGCTGTGGATAAGGTGATCCTTGGTCGTCCTCACACCATTAATGAACATAAAATTGACGTTCGCAAAGCTCTTAGCAAGGAAGAGATGGGCAGGCTTAGGTCTCGGCCGCCACGCCAGGGACCACATCAAATGTGGAATCAGGGTAGGAACATAATCTAAGTCTAAAGTATACCACATAGGCGCTCCAGATTACCGTCAACAGGGCTGGAATCACGGTTATAACCAGGGCGGGTATGGTTCGTCTGGCTATCCCTCTTATGGTAGTGACCAGTATGGTAAGATAGATTACTAGTCTAATGTTCGGTTTTCACCTTAGGAAATGGATATGGTTATGATAATTACCAACAATCATGGGATTATCAGTCTGCAGATTCCTTTGGCTCTTACAATCAGCAGCCATACGGTGGTGGACCCATGCGTGGTGGTCCCCAGTATTCTAGACCAGCACCTTACGGAGGCCCAAATTCATGGGGACAGCAGCGTTAAATACAATAGCTTCCGTCCACGGTTGTATATTGCCCCATTTAATGACGGTGATGCATTTCCATACTTTTTATTGTCTCATTTTGTAAGATACATGCTGTCGTTTAATGGACTTCTGAAATTGCCAATTAACGCAGTGCTAATGTGTCTCGTACAGGACGCCCGCTTCGTCCTTTTGTATGTCAATATATGGAAACGTCTTCACAATTTAATGTCTACTAAGGTTCGTGTTCTTGTATATTCTCGATGTTTCCATACTGAAACTGCGATGCGACTCTGTTTTCCAGCTAGCTCCGTTCTATTGCCTTTCATAAGCTATTGAGTAAATAAGTGGTCGGGCTCGTGCTTTTATGGCCGCGTGATGTTACTTTGTCGCTTTTAATGACTCCAAAGCGCGTGTAAGGCGTTAGTTTGAAATTTTGGTTTCCCAGTAGGCTGGCGTGTAGCTGTTGAAAAGACCTCACACGACCCGTGACCAGAGGTTCCTCTCGGTCATTATTGCAAGATCTTGGGTGTAATCTTCTGTTTAGCCCACAAAAAGTGCATTAATTTCTTGCTGTGAATGATTATGCACACTTGGACTGATATTTACTAGCCTCTGCGTCGCGCCATGGCGTAAGTTCCGATACCATTGAGTAAATGCGGTCAAATTGATTTTGTAGTTTGCATATTGACCTAATTTGGGGCTAATCGGTATACTTGTGGCTGGGGATGTGCATACTTTTGCTGGGGGATCGATTTCATCAATTTTAGGGGAAGGGATTGCGCAGGAGGGTTTCAGCAAAAAGTACTCACTCCTAGCACGGGTGGTTGTCGTTGCCTAGTGCGCGTGGATTTTAGGATGTCGCGCGAAGTCAGCAAAGTGTTCATTATCACCCGCTGTGGTCTTACGGTCAACAGGGTCCGTCACGCAGTCTGTGGATCATCCGGTCAGTGTTAAGGTCTTGCAAAATGTGCTTATACACAGGGCGTGGGTCAAAGTAAACAAAAGTAGTTCTGCATTAGAATGCCTTTTATTATCGTCAAATGGTCCACCGTTTTATTGTAGTGAACGATGGCAGTTGTTACATGGTCCATACTACCTCGCTGGTTGTCGTTGTTTGTGAATTATTGTAGAATTTTTCGATTCCCTATGCATAAAGGGCGTGGGCACACTCGTCTGCGTTGTTGTTTCACTTCAAACCGTAAAATTATGCTCGAAAATGCTATTTAAATCAAGGGAATAAATTACTAAGCCCGGGCTAAGTTTGCATACAGAAAGTGTAGCGTCGTGCAGTAATGTGTGTGGTTTATCCTGAGTAGGTTATTCTTTTGGATACCTACTGCACTATTGGAATAACGGAAACGAGTGCCTTGCTTTAATTTTGCATTTTGCGCTGTATAGTGTTGTGACCTGAATTTTCTTTACGATTAAGTGGATCTGACCTCCGGTAAAGGAGTCTTCTCACTGTCGGCAGTCAGTGATGCATCCTTATGTGCGCAGTCGCTGCAAAAATGCGAATACCTGACGCTGCCACTTGGACTTGCGTTTGCGTTCGTACCTTGTGTGATCAATATGTTGTAAACGGCACTTGACGATGCATGTTTTTAGTCTGGAACTTTGCTGGATGTCACAAAAATTGTTAAGGAATTACTGTTTAGTGAGAATGATAGGCCTGGTTGGTGGATTATGATTGCTCTCAGCCAAATTATAACGGTGATAATTATTTCCTTTCTTCCAAAACTGAAAAGTGTTACTCTGTACCAAAGTCACTAAATATCAACCACAATATTTATGTACACTAAAATCTAGGTTTGATTTGCCAAGCACAAAAACTTGGGTTGCACTTACTCATGTCTTTGTAAAAGTAGAACACGGCCCTGGAGATTTATTCCATGCATTATGGGACTTTTGAATTTGGATGTGAATAATTGCAAGGTACTTTGGTTCCATCTCTTTAGGTAATCGGAGTTTAGTTGTGGTAGTGAGAAGGATTAGCATCCCATCAAAGCTACTTTTATCGATATTTACTAATGTGAACTGGCGTAGGTGCTCTAGTACACTCTATCGCCCTACTTATCAAATCAATCACAAAGACGTGAACAACAATTTAAAGATTACAGTGTTCCGGTAATTCAGACACAAAATAAGACAATTTTATGACAGATTTTCAGCCTCAACTGAGGTCATTTGCCGAAAGAATTTGACTAAACCAAGTAGAGCATGCGTCAAAAGTGCATGGTCAACTGATGACGGTCGCGTAAGGAGAGCCGTTCGCCTCTGAACGAGACAATCGCCCATAAAGTTTCATTTATGTTGCAAACTATTAAGAGTGCAATCAAAATCATTGTTAGGCGAGCCGTTTAAACTAATCCCCCGAGGTGGTTTGAAACTTCGTCTAAGCGAGCTTTGACGACATTACTGGACTTCCTCATTTCGAATAGCAATAATTAATCCCGCTGCTTGTGGAGGTATTTCATTATGTCGTGCTTTAACGTACTGAAGGCATCTTACCGAAAACATGTATACGCACGATTGAAATTTGCTGCCACATAAGCGAGTTGGAATTCAATCTCTCAACTTAAATTTAAGCTTTGCCAAACACTCAAGTTTCCATTTCGAGAAGTAGCGCAGCGTGTTCATTTTAATTTCGCAAAAAATAGGGTTGAAAATTCACAAACTAAATTGTTTTATTAAATAATTCGTACTCCTGAAATTCTGTACTGATGCCTGTTCCACGCTCGTGTCTTCTAGTAGATTTGACTACAGAGAAATACCACTTCCGTTTTTTGTCTTATTCGCACCACATAATGGAGAAGACGGCTGCAATAAAACAGGCTTCATTGTCTTGCCGCAAGCCATCACATTCACTCTTACTGGCTTCACTTTCCATTGCACAGGCGCTTCTCATTTACCGTTGTCTCCGATTGGCTGTTGATCTCCTTCATGTGCCATTAAAACACACACAAACAGGCGATTGGTTGAGCTCTTGAGGCCAGCCCTACAACAGCTTGAAGGTTAAATCAGCCCATTCTGCAACATTGAGCTCTAACAAATTAACATTTTTTCTGTCAAGACTGTGCAAAATCGATTGACGCTACCTTTGGTCGCTACATATTTACTCTAGTTTTAAAATTTCAGTAAAAATAAACGTATCATATCCAATCGATCACTCTGAATATAGATCCTTGAGTCACCAGTTAGGTGCGTAAGTTGAATGCAAATTAGCATACTTGCAGAATAACTAGAAGCGATGGTACCTGGAACAGTCTTCTGCCTAAACCTAAGTTAGAGTTTGAAAGTGAAGTGTGAATTCTTCATAGCGGTCATCTGCTTATAGGTGATGAACACAATTCTATGAAGGTTTGATGATAATATGGACAATGTGCAAGGTTGGCGCTTTCGAACTTTTGTTACAAAATTTTAATATATAGAATACATCAGGTGTTACACTAGGTACTCAATAATGTGCTTCTTCAATCGCAGTAATATACAGTGAGTACTCTGTGGTCTGTCCAAATTATTACAGATAATGCTGATAGCTTTCTTTGAGTGAAAAATAGTGTTAGAAGTTAATCCCACGATGACATTTGTGCATCAATTCACGTTTTTAGTTTAGGTTATTTCTATGAATACATGTGAAACGTTGATTTTGTGCATGTTGAGTGAGAAGTGTACAACTTGAGGCTGTATTAAAATGTGCTTCGAAGCTACTACAATTACTGAGAAATTTGGATAAAAAGTGCCTGTAGTAAAGCCCATACTACCGGTGGTTAATCAGTAAAAAGGAAATAAGGCTTAAAGCAGTCAACTGCTACCCTTCCTTTATAGGCTTCGCGTGAGGGGTTAATTTAATTCAATGGTAAAAAATATTTTGTTATGGATTGGACTGCACACGATCCAGAAAATCACTCTTAGCATCACTTAAATCAAAATCACAATTGCAAAATTGCGTTTTTAACTGTGTACGTAGTGTCCGTTACGAGCTGGGTGTTAGTTCGGACCTACTCTCGTACTGAAGCTGTCAAGAGGCGAATGCATGGGTATTCGTAGTTGCTACTATCCAAACTTAATTTCTTGCTATTTATTCAATTTTCGGAGATAGTACATACCATGGTCTGGCGCATAAACCTTCGCCCATGGATTAAACGAAGCAAAAACTCCTCAGCCTTCCACAGAAGCAGTAAAGTGTGTTGCGTGTCTAGCAAAATTTGGCGATATCCTCACGGCAGTGCACTTAAATGTCGTTGAATTTGAATACACTTTACACCAGATACAGAACGGAGTGTTGTATTCGTAGTCAGAGTATTTCGGCCGCAAGCACTTCGGGATAACGTAATGTGCCTGCAAATTAATCCACGCAAACAAAAATGCAGATTTCCCCCAACGTGTTCCTGTAGTTATTTTATTTCTCGGAACGCATTTATTTTCACTCGGACACCTTATTGAGCACATCAATCGTGGCGTTATTTTCCTAAATTTAGCAAATTTATTGGCTGTGATTAAGGGTTTTAAAAGCATGGTTGGGCAATTTTCACTGTGACAAAAGCGATTAAAGTTTACCTTGCTCAGATCTTGGCAAATTACAATCAATCTGACTTACTAACATTCAACGATACTTATGCCACGAATATAATAAAAGGAAACATGGTGTTTTATCTGCATTGGCTTCCGACAGTGCGGAGGGCGACGCAATTACCTCAAACGTTACATTTGAGGATAGGCAGCACCGTAAGTTAACAATTTTAACGAGTTTCATAAATCCAAAAAATGGACACAAAATAATTTCTTTGGGTTTCACTTGTTTGGATTCCTTGAAAGTAGCCAACATTTTTTCCTAGCACTACTGAATAGTGCTTAAAATGCTTTCTCTAATATGCGACTTATGCATTCGACTTTTGGTTTTATCCATTTTCCTTGAGTGAAAACACCAGAATTTTGTAAAAACGATTGCTCATTGGTAATATATTTTGTCATTCAATTCGATAGGGCTCGCACATTCTGTTGGCATACAAATGCGTTT